TTATGATGGTTTTATATTTTTTTGGCCCTATTTCTTAATAGAGCGGTTTCGTGTCTGTTGGTGCTATTATTTAAAAGGGTGGTTTTGTATTTTTTTGGTGCTATTATTTAATAGCGCGGTTCTTGATTTTTTGATGTGATTTGCGATTTTAACATTGATATTTTATAAGGTGGTTTTCAGCTTTTTCTAATGCGGTTTACAAACCACATCAACAAATATCGTTATTTTTTGATGCTATATTTTTTGGTGTGGTTAGAAAACCACGTCAACAAATTATAATAACCGCATTATCAAATCTCTTTTGTACTAGTGGCACATTTTAAAGTACATTAAGGTCATCCCCAATGGTAGTTGTACGAGGGTTTAATAGATTAAATGTAAATATAATATAGAGGAGAGAGAGTGTGGAGTTGAATGGCGGTGCAATAGAATTGTAATGAAAATTTATGAATTTATTAAGAATTAAATTGAATGTGTATATTCTCTTTCCTACATGGCAATTCATACAACTCTTTGTGGGTTTAATTCATTGGAGATGGCTAAAGGAGCAGGGGATTATAGTAAAGTTTCTGTTAAAGTTTATACCATTGGAAAGAAAGAAAGGTTGAGTAAATCAATGGGACAAGTCAAGTTTGAAGAGATGAAGATGATGCGAGGGGTGACGATGATGCAAGTTCCTGGATTAAGGGGGGGGGGGGGGGGGAAATGTTTGGATAATCTAAAAAAATTGGGACTGTTTTAGCACAAGGGCATCTTAGGAAAGTTTTCTTTTTATGCAGTTTTTGAGTTAGTTTAGGATTCAAATTTTTCTAGTATAAATAGGATCCAACGTATGGTATTTTTATATTCATTTCAGAACCACGTTCCAGTTAGGCTGCAAGTAAATTTAGTAATTCTCTGTTTTCACAGTTTTGTTCTTATCTCCTGTTCGTTTTAAAACTAGAAGCAGGTCCTTTTGATTACACTAAAAGTAATCTCTTTCGTGTTTCAGATCCTTTTTTATCCCTCTCTTGTTTGAATTTCTTGTACACAAAGGCACAAGGGAAAACTTCAATAAAGTCCCTACATATTGGCCTCATAATCGATTTAGTCCCTATATATATATTTTTATTCAATTAAGCCCCAAATACCGGTAATCGTACTCAATTTAACCCTTTGACCCGGTCAACGAGTCATCCAACTTTCAAAAATTACATTTTTGGCCCAGATTTCAAAATTTGTTACAAATTTGGTCCAAAATTTACATTTTTGGCCCATATTTTAAATTTTGTTACAAATTTGGTCCAAACTTTACCCTTTTTCCCCAAATTTTAGAATTTTATTATGAATTCATCCTAACTTTAGTTTTTTTACAACTTTTTTTCTCAAAGAATTATTTCTAATATGTTTTTTTGTTATAAAATCATATTTATACAAAAAAAAAACGTATTTTCACATAAAAATCTTATATTTTCTATATAATTTTTTTTTAAAGTTTTTTGTACATGAAATATCTAGTTATAAAATAGGGATTTATTAAGTATATAAATATATACAAATCCGTTTTTATAAATAAATATATACAAAAACGTATTTTACAAAAAAAATGTATACAAACACCTATTTTATCTATATTTTTTTATAAAATCGTGTTTGTTTATATTTTTTTTTATAAAACCATGTTTGAATAATTTTTTATATCATATGTGTTTATATAAAATGTATACAAACACGATTTTATAAAATATATACAAACACGTATTATATGATAAATTATTCAAACACGTTTTTATAAAATGTATACAAACACGATTTTATAAAATGTATACAAACACATATTGTATAAAAAATTATTCAAACACGTTTTTATAAAAAAAAAATATAAACAAACACGATTTTATAAAAAAAATATAG